GAGCGGTTACACTTATCCTTTCCATGTCAATGGCTAATTCTGGGAAACAGCCTTCCTTTCCTCCCACTCCTAAAATGCTTTTTAACTAAATCTCACCGTGCCCTAAGAGGGGGTGGCACATGTCTGCCAGCAGTGTCTCCTGTCACTTCTTATCAACTCAATGTTGTCAGGTTTGATGGGAGCTAGGGCTGAGGTGGGCATGGCTTTAGCACTTGTGTTGACTGAAGTGACAAACAGTCTAACATGATTAGTGTTTCACTGAGCACTGGGGATTGTTTTTTCATATTAAAAGACTTATTTTATTTATCTTTTTAGTTGCCAGAGGGCATACGCACTCACTAAAGAGAGACAGGGAAACAGAGAGTGAAAGAGAGCAAGCACCTTCCCAGTGAGTCATGGTCACATCACAATCCTCTTTTCTCCATCCTGTTGGGATTTTTGGCCGCATGTGTGCACACGCCCAGTATGTTTTTTAAGCTGCTGGAACTGGGATTTGAACCATAATTGGCCATGTGGGATCCAGTTCTCTTAATCACTAAGCTGTGGAGTCAGCCCCAATTTTTAAAAATATATATATATATAACTTTAAAGCGATCTCGGGGAAAGACACTGGATCGTGCTCGGGTCCAGATGGGTCAGCTGCCCTGTGTGGGGCGAGAGGCTGGGGTGAGAAGCCTGGAAACCCCAATCTTAAAGGTTTAGAACAGAGAGTCACCTGTGCACTTCCACACCTATGAGTGGGGCTAGTTAGGGCTCACATTACTTCAGAGTGAATTTGGGTGGGCTTTAAGGTTTGGGTTCGCTCTTTTTCTTACTTATTCATTTATTCGATTATCCAATACATTTCTATGCTACCCTATGCCAAGCACAGTGTGAAGCACTGGAGATGCAGCACTGAAGACCCGGGACGGGTCTCTGTCCTCTTCTCACAGTCTAGCCTGAAGATAGATTCAGATATGGGCAGTCACAAAGCAGCATCGCAGTACAAGAAGCCGTGCTCAGCTCAGTGTGGGCATAAGGGAGGAGAATGTAGCACGGCTCGTGGGAGGACTCCCGAGTTTTAAAAAGCAAGAAGTCAAGCAGGAGAATTGGAAGAGGTTTGTGGAGGGGAATGAGACAGGAAGGACGTGCAGACTGAGGCCACAGCAGGAGCAGAGGCCCAGGGAGGAGGAACAGCATGGCTGGTGTGCAGGTTTCAAGGAGTATGGAGGTGCTGTGTGAGGCAGAGTGCTGAAAGAAAAGACCAGAGAGTATGGAGGGGTCAAGCTGTGCAGGGCAGGCTGCAGGGAGCCACTGAAGTGGGCCCCAGACCTCACTCCCTACACCTGTCTATCAGACAGAACAGGAGTTCTCATGCCTTCATATACCCAACTCAGTCTAGTCTCACTGGTTGCCTCTGTGATGCTGGGGGTTTTTCACTGGTCAAGGTTCTCAGTTTTGCTATTGACAGCCCTCAGAGAGCCAGACCTCTGGGTTTGAAGCTCTTCTGTCATTTGTGAGCAGGACTTTGATAGCTAATTGTGCTTACCCAGCACCTACAACACTCCCTGCAGAGTTCCACAAGGTCTAAATCCTGGTTACTGTTCTGGGAAAACTAGAGAAATCTTTTTCATCTCAGTTTTTCTCCCAGGATAGCTTATGTAAATTAAGACATGCTGAGATTCCAGCCTCTGTTTCCAATCAAGCATTTTAACTTTGGTGAAAAAAAAACAAAAAAACTTTTTTTTTTTTTTCAAGTTTTGCTATAGGGTGTATGTGCTTATCAGAGAGAGACAGAGAGAGAGGGAAATGAGAAATCACCCCCCAAGGGGATGGTAAAGCTGCAATCCCTTCTCCTCTGTCCTCCTCTTGGCATTTTGGGCATGCACATACATGTATGCGGTATATTTTTTTAAGCCACTGGGTCCAGGACTTGAACTGCACAGTCAGCCATGTGGGATACAGCACATTAACCACCATACTCCCTACTGGCCCTAAGAACTTTTAAGATTGTTTTTAGCAACTTATGAAATTCTATAGTCTATACAATCTTTCTCTGCAAATGTTGGGAACAAAAAACAATATATATATATAAATATATATATATATTTATATGTATATATTTTGCTGTAGGGCGCATGCGCTCACCAGACAGACAGAGAGAGAGAGAGAGATAGAAAGCGAGAAATCACCCCCCAGAGGGGATGGTCACGCCGCATCCATTCTCCTCCATTCTCCTCTCGGGACCTTGGGCACGCATGTACATGCGCCCGGTGTGAGTTTTAAGCCACCAGGTCTGGAATGCGAACCTCGGTCGACTATGTGGGAGTCCAGAGACATAGCCATTATGCTAACTGCTGGTTCCCCTAAGTAGTTTTTTTTAAGAATTTTTTTTAAATTTAATTTTATTTATTATCATTATTTTTAATTTGCCAAGAGAGAGAGAGAGTGAGAAAGCAAGCCGCCAGGTCCAGGACTTGAACTGAGGTAGGTCATGTGGGAGTCCAACGCCCTCAACCTCCCTGCCAACTGCTGGCCCCATTGCTGAGTAGTTTTATACATGTGTCTTATTAATCCTCCCAACACACCATAGTAAAGGTTTCATTAGTTTCCATACATAATACAACAGAAAACCAGAAAGGTTCAATGAATTTTCCAAAAATCCAGAGCTAGTGAATTGTGAAGGGGGAGTGAGCTCAAATCAGCCTGACTTCCCAAGGAGAATGTTGGGGGAATCTGGAAGAAGAGGAAAAGTCGGGACTAGTGGGCTGACCTCAAATAATTATTACCAAAAAATAAATACAACTTTTAGTACTTGGATGAACAATTGGGCGTTATTTCTTTAATTAACCTTGGTCAATTAGTAGGGCCATCTGGAAAAACAGACAAGGAGAAACAGTGCTGAGTTTGATTAGCCACCTGTGACAAAGTGAAGGCAGTATCTACTCCTATGCCATATTTTTGACATCCTTAATTTCTTGATAGGAAAGGCCTGACCACAGTAATACCAGGGTAGGGCCCAGGCAAAAGCCAGCGGACCATGGTTAGAAGCACTGGCTTGATTTTAACCCAAAGGTGAAGGGACTAGCAGAGCTACACCAAGACTCTCTCCTTTGCCTTTTCAGAGTTGTATCTGCCAATTCCTCAACCACCTATTGCTATACTAAAGGGCAAAATGCTTACAAATGATCCCAGCAAGTATCTTTATATGAACATTTTTGAAGGGAACATATTTTAAGAGAACATATGCCTTTTGGTGCTCTGTGCTTGATAGAATTAGGTAATAAGCATTCAGCCCAGCCAGGCTTAACGTAGAAAGCATAATAATAGTGACTACATGGAGAACGCAGCCTCAGTCCTAAGAAGTTATCACCATGTGTGAGCCCCATTGCTATTACCTACTGGGCACCTTTTTCTCTTCTTAACCGCGTGTTTGGGGAGAGAGTTCTGCAAACATTACAGGCTTGGAAGGCACAGTCAGAATGCTAATAGAGACATCAACCCTCAGATGCTGCCTTCTTGAAGTCTGAGCGAGGTGAGCAGTGCAGCTAATACCTGTGCCTCCTCCTACATGATTGCAATTAACATTTTATCTGCCCTATGTCTCGAGTTGAAGCTTTGGCACCACTCCCTGGAGGGTGAGGAAGGACCTTAATTACAGAACCGATGCCCTTACCCCACTGCCTGCTGTACTCTGGTGCCACCCCCCCTGAGTTCCAAAGAGAGGTCAGGCTGATCCTAGGATGTCATGTGGCTCAAATCGAATATTTTAATTTAGAGACTCAGTAAGTGGCTCCATCAATTAAGACGAGCTGTACGTGCAGCAGACTTGCTGAGACAGAGCCAGGACTTTGATTCATTTCATTTCTTAGTGACCCCATCACACAGTGGACGGATGGCCAACATTTCAATGGGCAGCAGAGAGCTGCCAGGAGTAAAAGGAAGACTAATGGTTGAGGGGGATTTTAAAGGGTACGATTGGCATTTGAAATGACAGCACATATGTCATGCTGGTTAAATAATGGTGCTTGGTGGGGTGCCAGGGAGAGAGAGGTATATTATGTTCTAGTTAGTTAGCAACGAATAAAACCCCATCTCTGTGAATTAGCACAGGTCAGGTCCTTTTTTTTTTTTTTTTTGGCTCAGGTATAGTTCAGAACAAGAAAGTTTTTCTTCATTTGTTTTTTCAGGGGCCCAGGCTCTTTCTGCCTTTTGACCCTGTCAGGTCCACACTGCTTACTCCAGGAGAGAAAGGGTAATAGATGTAGGTGCTACTGAAGCTACGGGAAAGACTGATTAAAAATAGGTTAAAGAAGGGCTAGTTGGTGGCTGGTGGTTAAGGCACTGGATCCCACAGGACCAATGGACCAGTGCAAGTCCCACACCCAGCGGCTTGGGAAACATACCGGGTGCATGTATATGTGTGTGCCCCAAATCCTGAAAAGGGATTGCAACTTGACCATGCACCCCTGAGGGTGCATTCTCACTTTCTCTGTCTCTCCCATGAGTGCATGTGCTGCATAGGGAAAAAAAAAATGTTAAAAGGAATTGGAGGCCCGATTTCAGTAAATGGCTTAATGGTTATGTTGCTGGACTCACACATAGTCAACTGCGGTTGGAGTCCCAGACCCAGTGGCTTAAAACTCATGCCAGGCATGTATGTGTGCGTGCCTAAGAACCTGAGAGGAGAATGGAGGAGAAGGGATTGCAGTATGGCCATTCACCCCAGGAGGGAGGGGGGATTTCTCGTGTTCCATCTCTCGGGCAAGCACATGCACCCTATGGCAAAAATCTCTCTTTAAAAAATTTTTAAAAAGAAATTGGAGGCTAATACTTAAAGAGCTTGTTTTGTATGGTATGCATTAGCCAGACCCCAGAACTAGCTGCAGCTGGCCAGTCCAATATGGCTGACTGCAGCTTGCACCGAAGAAATTAAGTTGCCCTGGGTGAATTTGACGTCACAGCCTGCTTTTCACCCATGTGTTTCATATCAGCTTCCCCTAGATTTGTACTTGGGACTGATGAAGAAGCATGAGAAGATAGCTGGGGCGACCCAAGGAGCTCTCCTGATTCTCATACCTCATAGTCTGCCCAATTACTGCCACCCTCCACCCAGCACCACCCAAGACCCACTCCTGTAAGTACTCCCTTGGCTAGCCCTCAGAAAGCAGCTCTGAGACAGATTCTCCTTCCGTTACTGGGGAGACTCAACCTTTGGGGATCTCCTCCAGGGTGGGAGGGTCCTTGGCTTTCTGCAGGAAAGAATTCAAGAGTGAGTCCTTGAGAGAGAGTGAAAGTAAGTTTATTAAGGAAAGTGTACAGAGTGATTTACTCTGCACAGGTCAGTAGATTCGTTCCCTCCTCAGGTGCACAGCGTCAGGGCATTAGCCAGGGTTTAGCTCTAGCGGCCCACTGCCTCGGTCCTGTCCTCGTCCAGCTGTCCTTGCGAAACAAAAGTTCTTTCTTTGGTGTAAACTGGTGCCCCTATGTTTGGCATTTTTATGCATCAGGCAAACCAACCAGGTTACACTACCTGCAAGAGGGTGAGTGAGGTTGGGGCCTATGCTTTTCCCCTTCATCCTTACGTAAAGATTAATCCTGGGGCCAGCAGGTGCATAGTGATTATGGTGTTGGACGCCTACATGTCTGATGGCAGTTTGAGTACTGGACCCAGCAGCTTGAAATTGATAGCAGGCATGTGTGAATGAGTGCCCAAAACCCTGAGAGGAGAGTGGAGGAGAAGAGATTGCAGCATGGTCATCCCCCCTGCGGGGTAGTTTTTCTCTGTGTCTTTCTGGGTATCTCCAGCAAGTGCATGCACCCTATAGCAAAAATCTATCAAAAAAGAAAAACAAAGAGTAATCCCAGGACCCAGGATAAGTTTGAGCTTGTAGGAGTGTTCATGCAGAGAAGGGAGCTGAAGGAGGGAGGAGGTGAAACAGTTCCAGTTGGTCTAAATTGAGGCCTCAGGACTGCATAATGGGGGACCAGCAGTTAGTGTAATGGCTATGTCGCTGGACTCCCACATAGTCGACCGTGGTTTGCATCCCGGACCTGGTGGCTTCAAACTCATGCCGGGCGCGTGTGAGTGCATGCCCAAGATCCCAAGAGGAGAATGGAGGAAAAGGGATTGCGGCTTGCAGCGTGGCCATCTCCCCTGGGGGGTGATTTCTTGCTTTCTGTCTCTCTGTCTCTCTCTGTCTTTCAGGTGAGCACACGTGCCCTATAGAAAAAACCTCTCCAAAAAACAAAAAACAAAAAACAAAAAACTGCATAATGGGAGTCAGGTGGGGTAGAAACCCATCTGTCTTCTTGAACCCACAAGACCCTGCCCTCTGCCAGTATGACATTGAGGTTCTAACGGGCTCATTTCCTGCTCCCCACATTTAAAATTCTTCTATTTCAACAGATCGTCCTCAGCGGAAGCAGCTGACACTAGGCCTGTGGGGAAAGTACATTTTTGGCAAGGCAAGTACCCTCAAGACTTCAGGGAGCTGCTCTTGGCTGTCACTACCGGTAGGTCTTTGGAATCGGTATCACATGATCAGGTCTTGCGCAGGAGTACAGAGGCTAATGACTCGCCCCCAATATTACAGATCTGAGAGTAAACATTATTTAGAATAAAGTATTGTTTTAGCAGGGACACCACAGCTTCTTAAACTATGCAGCAATGACTCGTTTACATTTGCTGCCCGATCATTATCCTGCTTATTTACGAAGAAAGTGGCTAGCTGTCACCCCAGCTTTCTTCCGTAGTAAACCATGAATACTTTCTGTTAAAGTTGTACTTTGAATTTAAACATAACTAGGCCGTTATGGCTGGCTGCCACCACACACAGGCATATGATTTGCATGTCTAGATGGGCAAATTGGAGCTGCAACCGCGGGCGGCTCCGCTTCCTGCGTTACTCTGCCCCCCTCCCCCCAACTCCATTGTGCAGAATTAACAACTGCTTTGGAAATCGATTTATAACTAAATGTCTAATCGAAGAGTTAGGACAGGATAATATACACTTGCCAGAGTGAAGTTTGATATGGAATTTAAATCTTGTCTCTCGCCTGAGACACGGTGGTTGGAAGCGCAAATTGTTCCTTTTAAAACTGGCTCGCAAATGGAAGGAACAATTCCCGAGTTAATGGATACAATGGGAGTTTCCCCTCCCACTGGTAATTTGAGGTGCATATTTATTATCAAGTTATTGGGCCCATGCCTCCTGTCTTTACCACCACAGCCATCCCCAGCCAGGAAGCTGTTCGGATCCCATCAGGGTTTTAAACTTATACTTGTATTAACTTTGAATGATTCTAGTGGAGCGTGTCACGAGTTGTGACAGGATTATTCATGAGCTAAATGATTCTGACTCAGTTAGAAGAGCACCCAAGCTTCTAGCCCTGGTGGAAGGAAGCAGACACGACAGCCTGGCACCTCAGGGAAGCATGTTGTTTATTGTGACTTCCCTCGTGGAAGCATTTTCTCCGAGATCTGACAATGGTCCCATGTTGGGAACTGGGCCCTAGGCCTGAGGTGGTACTGGCTTGACAGAAGTCCCTGCTATGGGCAATGGTTATGGGTAAAATGAGGTGTGTGTACGTGTGTGTGTGTGTGTGTGTGTGTGTGTGTATTCTTGACCTTTAACTTCCAAGTGTTCAACTTTGATATCCCAATGAGTTTTGTTTAGGGTACACACAAAACAGGAGAACCTCTCCAAAATGTTCCTTGGAACAATTTTATTGTGTGAAATAAATCACTGAAGTAGCCATTCTAGAAGAACCAAGAGCTATTATGGATGCTTTCGTACGTCTTTTCTGCTCAGTATTTGGATTGTCATTTGGTTGGGTTGAAATTATACCTTAATCTGGACACTGCTTGGGACTCTAAACATCCAGCTGGGATCTGCCAACACCCCAGCTTCCTAACTGAGCCCAGTGACATGCTGAGACCGGGGATGAGACAAGGTGGAGGCAGTCCATGTTTGGAGAGTACTGACTCGGGTCCTAGAGGCTAACACGGCTGTGACTCCTTAGGTTATACCCATGCCATTTGGAGTAAAATCTTAGTGCAGTGGAAGGGAAAGGCCTCTGAACCAGGAGTCTGGGTCCCTGAGTCTGATTTCTCTATTGGCTTGACCTAAGACCTCGAGCTGTTCACTGCAGTCCTGTGTAAATCCTGCAGCTTCCTCCTCTGTGCTTTCATCCTATTTCTCTCCTTGGATGTAGTGATTGTCTATGAAGCGGTCAACCTTGAAAGTACTTCAAGATAAAGAATGCTTGATAATATAAAAGATAAGTCTTCTTATGAGTAAGGGCTGGCGGGACCAGCTGATGGTGTAATGGTTATGTCACTGGACTCCCATGTAGTTGATCACAGCTTGAGTCCCAGACCCAGTGGCTTGAAACTCATGCCGTGTGTGTGTGTGTGTGTGTACGTGTGCACGTGCGCATGTGTGCATGTGTGCGTGTGTGCATGGATGCATGCTCAGAATCCTGAGAGGAGAATGAAGAAGGGATTGTGACATGGTCATCCTCCCAGGGGATGATTTCTTGCTTTCTGTCTCTCTGTCTCTCTCTCTCTCCAGTGACTGCATGCACCCTATAGCAAAAATCTCTCTTTAAAAGAAAACAAAAAAAGAAGGGCTGGACTCTTGAAAGCCCTTCATTCTTAGATAACTTATTGGAAAAAAAATTTTTAAGAGAGATTTTTGCTATAGGGCACATGCACACACCAGAGAGGTAGAAAGAGGCACAGAGGCAGAAAGCCAGAAATCACCCCTTAGGGGAGATGGTCATGCCACAAACCCTTCTTCATTCTCCTCTCAGGATTTTGGGCATGCATGGACACACACCCAGTGTGAGTTTTAAGCTGCTGGTCTGGGACTTCAACTGCAATTGACTATGTGGGAGTCCAGCGACATAACCATTACATCATCTGTTGGTCTCTTGGAAAAATATTTTAATCTTCCCTGTAATATACAAATGGATGTGATCATCAGAATTGCACTATGTCAGAGCAGTTTCTTCTGAACCAACTCAGAAGATGAAGAACTGGTAAAAACTAGATAGTATTTGCTGTTTTGTTTGATATATCCATATATATACACACATGTATATATGTATATATATTCACATACACATTATATATATACACACACATACATTTTATATATATGTGTGTGTGTGCACACTGTATATATACACACACAGATAGATATTTGTTTTAATTAACTAATTTTTGGTGGAAAGTTATCTTGAAGGATAGTTATAATAAATAGAGATCTCGTATATTTTCCATATATAGCATTGATTTATGTAGCAGGATAAGGTACAAACCTGTGCAGAAATATAGTGATTCAGAGAAATAAATGATTTCAAGTCCATGGAATGATAAAAACTCAGAACAAGTACACACCTTCTGGTAATTACAACCCTTTATTAAGATAAATCATTAACCTACCAGAGATAGGAAAAGGTGCTTGCTAACCTCTCGGGAAATAAAAATGGAAATGAATTAAGCCCTTTTTTGTCTTTCAAATAATGACCTGTGTAACTTGTATCTTTCTCTGTCTTCATGTTGCATAATGGAGACCAATCACATGGTTGGTATCAACTGGGGTAAAACTCTTAGAGAAAATCTAGTCCATTCGTCTCTTTACACAAATAAGCATATCACAGCCCTCTTAGACAAAGCAAGTGGAAAAGAAGAGAACTTGACCCATACAGGTAAACCATGCGTCTGACACATAATAGATGCTCAGTAAATGCTTGTGTAATGATAAACCTTGAGGGCAAAAAACTTTCATAGCAGAATACAATTAAATGGAAAAAGAGTGGACTTGACCAGGGCTCACAGGACTGCAAATTGGGGTTCAGAGATATGAGTTCTAGATACGATTCTCTCCTCAATACTTTATACAAAGCAGGTCACTTCCTTTAGCATAAGTTTCCTCTGTTTCCATTTTGAATAGAACTGTACATTCTAGCTGCCTTACACTACTGTGTTAGAATAGATGGAAAAAAAGGTATCAGTGCACTTTGAGAAATATCAGCTGGTCTCTTGTATAGCTAGTGAACCTGTGGAGACAAGTAAGATTGGACTGCAGGTGTGGTGAGATCCAGGAAGCAGCAGAAAACAGCCAAGTGAGATATTGCACCGACGGTTGAAAGGGATGGTTGCTCCTTCTTTGTTTTTCCTCCAATCTTCTGCATAGGGCAGAAATTACATATCTAGATCAAAGCTGTAAGTGGTAATTAGTCAGGGGTATTTTGATCATTGGAATTCATTCTTTAAGAGGCTTTTAAGTTAAAATGATAGGCTAGGCTAGGCTAGAATTTTACACTTCTAGGAGTTCATAATCTAAGACTCTCAGAATTATGTTGCTTGGCATACAGGGCAACCATAGTGACCCCACCAAAGAGAGAGAATGGGTAATCTCTGCATGTAAGAATTTCTCAATTTTAAGTGTCCTTATAAATTTTTTTCCCCTCAGTGCTTGCTTCAGTAATAAGAGTTGGGCTTTTTTTTTTTTTATGTGAAAGACCAAATTTAATAAAAATGGTGGAGAGATGAATATTCATCTTTCCATAAGATTCAGCCAGTTAACCAATTATCTTAGGGCATTGAGAAATATGAACATGTGAATTAAGATTTTTTTTTTTGGAAAGGTTTTGCTATAGGGTGTATGTGTTCGCCAGAAAGACAGAGAGATAGAAAGCGAGAAATCAACCCCCACCCCAACCCCAAGGAGGATGGCCACACCACAATCCCTTCCCCTCTATTCTCCTCTTGGAACTTTGGGCATGCACGCACACATGCCCGGTGTGAGTTTAAGCCACCAGATCTGGGACTTGAACCATGGTCAACTACATGGGAGTCCAGCAACATAAGCATTAAGCCAACTGCTGGTCTCGTGAATTAAGATTTTATTAACTTTCTGTAATTTAACACTGCCACTGTTTTAATGGTATGAAATTCCCATGAACACATCTATTAAATTTTTTCCACTTGAAACATGTCAGATATTCACAAGTTTCCTTAACACAATTAAAGCAAAAGTCAAAGACTTGCCATGTGATATTTAAATCAGGGCCTTTACCTTTGATTGAAAATAGAGTGAAACACTTCTTGTTGGATCTCTCATCTTTGGCATTACATTATTCTTTGTTTCAGTTGGTCATTCTATGACTGTGCAGAATTAGTATAGTAATAACTTAGTATCATCTGAATTAGTCTCATCTCCAAAGATAATTTTTTAAAAATATAAACAGGAAAGTATCTATTTGGCCATTGTGCATGTAGACAATTTCTAGTAGGAATGGTTGTAATACCAATGAGATCTTTCTTTTCTTTCTTAAGAATTATTTTATTTAAATTTATTTATTTTAATTTGACCAGAGAGGGACAAAGTGAGAGAGAAAGAGAGAAAGAGCAAAAGTGAGAAAGCAAGCCTTCAGGTCTGGGACTCGAACCGCGGTTGGATATGTGGGAGTCCAGAATCCTTAACTACCATGCCACCT